AGACGCAAGGCTACTGTGGCATGGAGTGAAAGAGAATGAAAATTTTTTAGAAGTAACCAGAAACCCAATCCTAAACATGAAACATGGGGTAAAACTCTACTTCTGTTCAAAATTCCGTTGGGGGAGTGTGAACTGCACGATAGGCGAACCTATCTACTCCTATTTTATTAGTATTTGCTAAGCAAAGAAAGCAAAATATACATTTTTATTTATAAGTAAATCCGACAAATATAGACCAGAGAAGCATATTTGATATACACAGCATCCCTTATGTCTAAATAAATAATTATTCTATTATTCTACATGTTAATATGGGCTCATTTATATTATATAAACTTCATCAATCTTTATTCATTGATTTTATCATTTTTTTTTTTTTACTGTTTTGAATTTAACATTAAAAGTAGTACATTTTATTGCTTTCTAGAACTCTTCTTTACTTGAATATTTTTAAAAATTTTCTCATATACAACCTTTCTGGAGAGACAGGGTGCAAATCCATTAATTATGATTCTATTTATTGTATGAGTTTATTCATAAAAAAGTTATCTGAATAAAAACATTGCAAACTTATTTTAGGAGTGTCAAAGTTTTGTTTTTTTTAATACTAACTAAAGGCGACATAAAATTTTATTTATAAATAAACCCGACGGATATAGACTAAAGGAGCATGTTTGATTATGCCTGAATAAATAAATAAATAATTATTTTATTATTCTACATGTTAATATGGGCTCATTGATATTATATAACCTTCATCAATCGTTCATTCATTGATTTTCTTAACTTTTTTTACTGTTTCGGATTTAACATTAAAAGCAGCAGTTTTTATTGCTTCCTAGAACTCTTCTTTGCTTGAATATTTTAATATTCTCAAGTACATGTCAAATATATAATATTTAATGATAATTAATTAATAATGATAATTTAATTAATAATATTTAATGGAGGCCGGCTACAAGCTTTATATTATTTCTGAAGAGGCTGGAGTACATTCCATGAATTTGATACTTTGAAATTATTTTGGACAATATTGAGTTTTGCAGAATGAGAAGTAGCAATTGTTTTGCGTGAATATACACTTTATTTAAAAACTATTTGGTTATGACCTTTACCACAAAAAATGACTTGTTCAAAAATCTTCAATAATTTTTCTGCATATCTTGATACGGTCATCATTTTGAAGGGCTTATAATTTTACTGCCTACAGTACGAACTCAAGAGATTACCTTACCTCCTATCTCTTTCTTGTCTTCTAAATTTCCTATTCATCATTAAAAATTACTGTTGAGAAGTTAGTTTTGATGTACTTTCTTTGTCAAATTAATATTTGGAGGTTTACTTAAATGTCGTAGTTTATTTTCATATATTTAACCACTGTTCTTGTTATATTAAGCGTATGTTGGCATAACAAAGAAGAAATAACGAAGGGCTTAAAGAAATAAAAAAAAATTGTATTAACGTAAAATACAAAAATGATAAATCGATGTAAATGTCTCTCGTTAAGCGGGAGATAAGGAGTTGTATAAAGTGTCCGCATAGGGTTACGGTAGAAGAGGAAGGGTTAGTTGTGACTTACTGCTGCGACGGCCTCTGTAGAATTGTCTTTTGGAGATGGGAGGTCGCTTTCCGACGAGCGTTGTGAATCCGGACCAAGATGCTGTCCTACGGCCGAAAATATCCCTTTGATGGGCTTTTATGTTCTTTCTTAGGCCCAGATCAGCTCCAGTTTTATTTTGTTTTTGTTTTTTAGGCAAAAGTGGGTTCTATTAGGTGGAAATTCTGGATTGTTTTGCTTGTTTTCTCATTGAGTGGTGTGAGTAAAAAACGGTAGCTATGTGCGGAGCCTTGCGCAATTGATGGAATTTTAGTTCAGTTTTGGTTTTCGGGGCGTTTACATTCAGTCAGTGGTGGAAATTAGTGTACCATGAATCAGAAGATGATCTGGTTTTAGAAAGAACGTAATATTCTTAATAATTAACTTAATAATCCATATTTTTCATTGTTTACATTTGCCACATCAACTTTTTCAAATTTCTTGCTTTTCCCTTTTCATTTTTCTTATATCTCTTTTCGTCATTATTAAAACCTTTTTCTTGTTCATGTCTTGCCAATGTTTTTAATATTTTTTATTGTTCATTTTAATGTTTGTTTGCAATTTTCAAAATTGTGTTCCCATTCCCCAGTAATTACAAAGTTTTGTTTAGGCATTTTCAATAACTGGCTGAAAAAAACAGCACAGCATGATGAAAAAAGGCCCCAAACTTAATAAAAACAAAGTTTTATCGTCAAAATGTTTATGTTATTATTAATAGGAAAGACCAAAGTATTTTTTTAATTATTTTTTTTTAAATTTTTTAATCCTTTCAAGCACATTCGAAATTTTGTTTCAAAATCTTGTTTTTGGGGTTTTTTTTTTTTACATCTGCAGTCACATAATATTTACCATTAGTTTTTTGGCGCCTTTTTCAGTTGAAAAACATTAATTTGGAAATTCTTG